GTACAGGGTGACGATCCTGGCATCTCTTGTATCTTGTGGAACACCACCGGCACCCCAACATTTGACAAACGGTGTCATACAAAGGCTGCAAAATGGTGGTATTGCAATGCTTGATCAGGTCTGGGGGATACCATCATTCCCAGGGGCTTTGCCATAGGTTAAGCTGTCAATAGCCATGCCGATTTCTTGCAGTGTTGGTATAGCTTCTAACTCCTCCATGATTGGCAGAGGCGTCCATTGCTGAGGTGACAACAACCTTCTCTCTGGAGTACAGCTCTAAGTAGTGCTCCACCCATCTCTACATCTGCTAAACTTTGTCGTTGATCACTTCTCAGCAGCTGGTTTTCAGGGGTGCTGTTTTGCTCTAGATTGGTCCAAGATTTTCTTGATGCCCTCATATATGCCCCTAAGGATGCCTGCTGCTGCTGCAGTCTGGATGTCGTTACTGAGCTCCCGCCAGTGGTCATTGGCCCATCTTCTTGCTCTCTGCTGTACTTTGCTCCTGGCTGATCTGATTCCTTGGAGGATCTTCTCAATTGGTGAGCGCTTGTTTCAGCAACGGAAGCACGCTTTGTAACAATAACAGGAATCAACTTCTCAGACTTGGCTTCAAACCAGTCGCAGTTCTTTGAGGTCCTCCTCCCAAAGGTAGCAAGAGCTGATTTCTGAATTGCCTCATGCAGGTGGTTCCATGACCTAGAAGCGGTGTTGCATTGCTTCTCTAAATGTTGTATTATGTTTTTATCAGTGCGTGGCTTCCCTAAATGTTTGAAGCAGTGAAGTTTTTCTGGTGGCGGTTTGATCTTACAGCATGTTAGTGAACGGTTGGAGTGGCAATCAGCGCTGTGGTATGAGCGGGTGAGAAGCACATGCTTAGAATTGTACGTCTAACAATGACCATGTCGAGCCAATATTAGTGCTTGGATCGAGGGTGGCACCATGACATTCTGTGTTGTGGCTTCGTCTGTAAATAGGAGTTGGCAGAGTCCATGATAAGAGCAAAGCGCCAACTGGCACTCCCGTTCTCGTTTATCTTGCCAACTCCAAAGCAACATAAGCAAGAAGACTAAGATTCATGGTCTGCACCTACTCTGGCGTTGAAGTCGCCAAGGAGGACAAGGTGATCGCTGCTGTGGATGTTCTTGTTGGTATCGTTCAGGTAGGTCTTTTGCCTCAGGTATGGAGGTCAAGGGTGGGGCATAGGCGCTGATGAGTGTGTTCTTACGTCACTGATCTTCGGGAGGCCATCAAGTTCAGTTGTCATGGTGTGGACGTTTGAACATCCCAGTTTAAGAGCTGTTCTTTTCTTGTTGATTTTTCTCTGTGATAAATAAGTTTTCTTGCCTGGTAAGGAAGCTACGATCTGCTTGTCGGCGTATCCTAATCCTCATACACCCAAAGAGGAAGGCAGACCATGGCGGGAC